ACGTGCGTCATGGACTTTGCAAAAATCTTGGTTTCTCGAAGGAAGAACGTAGTGAGAATATCAGGAGGTATTGGGAATCCAAAAACAATTTTAAAGAAAGTGTCTAAATTTTTTTAGGGTCGCCGAAGTATCCAAATTGTTCGCAGATCAAGGTTTAGTCTCCTTAGCGTCATTTATCTCCCCATTCCGTGTAGACCGCGAAGAAGCAAGGAAAATTCACGAAAAAGTTGGCAAACTTAGCTCCTTCCTAGCCAATTGCCATATGTATTTTTGCAGGATAACCTACCATTCTTTGAAGTCTATGTCAGCACATCTCTGCAAGAGTGCGAAAAACGCGATCCAAAAAGTTTGTTTGCCAATCAATTCTTAAAATGAACAAACATTCTTCGAAACAGGAAGTTTGCTTTTGAAGTCAATCGTCATTTGATTCATGAATTAATCACACCAATAAATTACGAGTTAGTTTCCTCTAGGTGCTTAAATTGTAACTTTGCAGAACTCTATGAAAAAGCCCGTGCTGGTGAGATTTCTGGCTTTACTGGAATTGACAGCGCCTATGAACCACCGGATGATGCTGAGCTGGTAAGCAGAATTTGCAGTTTTCAGAATATAGCTGCACAAATTGCACAATTCTCTATTTTTTCTATTCTCTGATTGCCTGTGTCAATCCAAATTTTTTGCGAGATATCACATATCCAATGATTCCACTGCAGATTATTGACACGGAATCCGATGGTCATGGTGTGGATCGCTGTGTTGAATTAGTTATCGAGTTCTTACATCAAAATGGTATCATCCCTGATAAGGTAAGGAAACAATCATAAACACAGTAAACCTCAATGATCTGCGATTTTCAGGCTATGCATCAATTATCTGGACCACCCATTAGAGAGCTTTTTGTAGAAAATGTAGAAGAGAAGCAGTTATTGATAGAACAAGCCAAAAACATGCCAAAGATTGAACTAGGTCCAACAGAAGTACAATGGCTCCAGGTTGGACCATAATCTAAGTGCTTGCAAATTCACCTTTAGAATTTACCAAATCTCTCAGTAGCACGTAAATCCTATGTTGTTGTTTATTCAATTGACTCATCGCGTTAATGGTTTGCGATTTATGCACAAAATTTGTCATATCTTCCCTTGAACTATTCGCTGAAGGAAGATTGTATGATAATTTTAGAAATTTGAGTCTGATGTGCTAATTGGTTCCAGCTTAGGTCCTTTCCGAAGGTTGGGCAACGCCCCTTCCTGGTTTCATGAGAGAACGACAATATCTCCAGGCACTTCATTTCGGCCAGTTGTTGGATCTCAAGAAGAAGACAGTATTCCCGGGAGAGAAAGTAACACTTGATGTAATAGCCTTG